CTCAATCAGACAAAGATGGAAAGCATCCATAGGCACGACTAAAACTCTCCAAAGGATCTCCTGGCTCCAAAATTAGAAACTGATGCACAATTTTTTGATTATAGTCTACCTGAAGCCTTCTTTTTTTCAAATGGAAAATTAAGTTTTTAAGTAGAAAAATTTATTTTATTATAACTAGTAGAAAGAGTTAGGTAATGACGTAGCACCCTGAATTTTAGCCTTAAGTCTTTTATAGATTGGTTATGATTCCAAGAAAGTTGTTTAATGTCTCTCTGTGGCTTGGTTTCATCTTTTATTAAGAGAGTACTATCTAGTATTTACAGATATGCTTTTAAAAACATTAACCCAGAAAATGTAGGTAGGGATTACTACTTAGTTTATATATAAGAAATAATCACAGAGTAATTGAATATCTTGCTTAAGATTACAATTGAAGGCAGTAGTTAATAAGTTAAATAAAAGGTAGTACTTGATCTAAATTTTCTGATCATACATGTGCTGCCCTTTCCAAAGAATTTAACTGCTTCCACAAATCACGACCTAGAATATATGAATTATCCTTTTAGGTATAAAATTTTATTATTTTATTATATAAAAGATTTCAAGATGATAATTCAAAGTTTTAGGGAATGAGACTCTTTGGAGTCTAATCTAGGCTATATGGTGACCAGTGAATGAGCCCAGGAAAAGATTGGAATTAAAATGTTTCTCTAGGCCTGCACTGTGGTGTAGTAGGCTAGGCTCCACGTGTGGCACCAGAACCCCATATGGATGCCAGTCGTGTCCTGGCTGCTCCTCTTCTGATCCACCTCTCTGCTATGGCCTGAGAAAGCAGTAGAAGACGGCCCAACTGCTTGTGCATGGGAGACACAGAAGCTCCTGGCTTCGGATCAGCCCAGCTCCGGTTATTGAGACTATTTGGAGAATGAATCAGCACATGGAAGACCTTTCTTTCTCTGTAACACTACCTCTCAAACAAATAAATAAAATCTAAAAAAAATGTTTATCCAGTAATGAAAAGGCATAAGGTTCAACAGAATGTAATGTCACTTCAGGAGAAAAACTGATATAATAAATTAAAAATTTTTAGAGATAGAAGGGACCTTTCATGAGACATTTGTCATTATCTCTTCAATTTAAATATATGAAAGCTTTTAGTTTTGTTTTTGAATATATTATTTCATTGATAGTGGGTAAAAACTAGGAAAAAGGTGGTTTCTGATTACAGAATAATGAGTTTGGTTTCTAATGTACCCAAAACATTAAGAGATACAGTATCATATAGTACAAAGCATATGTAGTGACTTTAGCATCAAGTATGTGTAAGGTTGGTTCCCTCTTACTCTGTGTGGTTTTAAGAGACTAATTTAATGTCTTTTAGCTTCAGTTCTCTTATCTTTGGAGGAATCTATTAATACATATCAATCTGCCTCAACAGGTTGTAATGACCATTAAACAGTATGACCCTGCTGGATTGCCTCAAACAACTCCAGAATAGAATGGACACTCAGTGGAAGCATGTTCTGTCTTCTCATATAGGGAAAATGCAGATATAATTTACTGAAAGTTGGGGAACAACTCATGAAATTGCTGTACAGTTTCTATATAGTAAACTGAGGTGATACAAATATGACTAATTTTATTTTAAGCAATAGTTCAACTTCAAACCTAATTTCCATAAAATTTACTTATGTTTTTATTTTATTTGAGATGCAGGGAGACAGAGAAACAGATATATAGACAGAGACAGAGATAAAGAGACAGGTAGAAAGACTGACAGAGGGAACTGCAACCCATTGGTTCACTCCCCTAAAGCTACAATAGCCAGGACTGAGCCAGGTCTGGGGCTGGAGTCAGGAACTAGGAGTGCAACCTAGGTTTCTCATGTAGGTGGCAGGAACCCAACTATTTGAGCCTTCATCACTTTCTCCCAAGGCATAAAGAGCAAGAGCTAGAAATCATCCCAGGCACTACAATGTAGGACATGGACATCTTCACTGTTAGGCTAGATGCCTAGTTCCATAAAATTAATTTTTAAAAGAAAATTCCAGAATATACATTTGTATCATTAAATAATGAGTATTTTTTCATGAAATATACTATTAATTATCAAAGGGGGAAGGGCTTTAGAAAATATGATTTAAAACCCCAGGGATTGTCTGAGTCTCCATGGAACTCACTGGTAAAAACGTCTCTTTAAGTCCTTCTAAGAACTTTATCTTTTTTTTTTTTATTCAAGAGGTAGAGAGAGGGAAAGAGGAAGAGGGTGAGGGTGAGGGAGAGAAACAGAGAGTAAAAACTTCCCAGCTTCTGGTTTACTTCCCAAGTGCCTATAACAACCTGGACCAAGATCAGCTACAGCTGGTAGCTGGGAACTCAATCTGGGTCTCCCACATGGGTGGAAGTAATTCAACTACTTGAGTCATCACTGCTGCTTCCCAGTATTAGCAGGAAACTGTAATTGGGAACTGGAGGCAAGAATCAAACCTGATGTAGGACACAGGAGTCTTAACCAGACTCTTAACTGCTAAGCTAAAGGTTGATCCCTATTGACTTGATTTTACTTCTATCTTGACATTTTAGGTTTCTTTTAGTTAAAAGAAATTATGACCAGTTTTGCAAAATTCCAGTTAATTCTAAGTACAAAACCTAGTTCTTCTGCCATCTGTCAGATCTGAAAATTCTCCTAGTTGTCTAGGTGAAAGAAAGGAGCCAGGTGCCATGCTCTAACCTACTACCATCATAATATATTTACTGAGCTCATGACTTGTGCTGGCATAAAAGACATACAAAAATTTAGATATGAATTTCAGTTTCTTGTCATGCATTTGGAAAGGTAGAGCATATGCATAAAAATATGTATCCCTCCAAATAAATAGAGCAGTGCCAACTAAACAATGCAGGCCCCCACTGTGTACAAACTTATACACTGTAGGCATTTAAACAAAGAAGTTGACACAACAGGGCTCTTGGCAGCACTATGAAGTGAAATTTGAACAGGCCATCTCCTGAGAAGCAATGGTAAGTGTAAATCAAAAGGGTAGTAGCACACACACACACCTGGCTTAAGGGGAATTTTTTTTATGAGAGTAGTAGAAAAATCATTTTAAGATGTAAATGAAAAACATGGATCTTTGAGGACCCTGAATGAAAGGTTGAAAGATTTGACTTTTTTTTTAAGGTTTTCTTAAGATTATTGAGCATTCCTTAGAACTTCTGTGTCCTTTAAATCATGATTGGTACTGTAGATTTGTGATGAACCAAGAACCTACTCCTGTCCCTATCCTCAATTTCCAATTTCTGTTTTTCCATAAAAGCATAACATTTATTATAGGACAAACAGAAAATACAGTAAAGCATGAAGGGTAAGTTTGTGAATTCTACAACCTCATATCCTAGAAACTTTTGTCCCCTACCCCACTCTACAATGTAGAGAAAATTCCTCCTTTGAAAGGCTGAGATTCAGAAGTCTGAATATGTGTGATAAACCACCTGGAGATGATTTATATGAAAGGTTTTTGCTTCAACCCTTTATGTTGTCTAGGGGATGGGTATGAAAAGGATGGTATCGATCAAACGTCAGGAAACTTTTATGTAAAGAGTAAGGTGGCAAATATTTTAGGGCTGTGGGCCATATGGTTTCTGGTGAAACTACTTAACTCTGCCATTGCAGCATAAAAGCAGCCACAGATACCATGAAAAATGAATGAGTGTGGTTCAGTATCAATAAAACTTTATTATGGAAACTGAAATTTCAAATAGTTTTCAGATTTCAAAAAATATCATAATGTCTCCTAAGAGTACCCTGGGATAAGAAAATGTTTGGGGTTACTGAGGCACTGTTATCATAGTACGTAGTAATTATAGGGTTTAGGACCAGCAGAAGCCAACATAGATATCAATGTCCATATACAAAGCACAGAGAGTTGAAACAAAGAGAAACACCCCAAAAGTGGATGAACTGATAGAACAGAAAACTAGATAATACTTTTGAGCAAAAATAAGTTGCCTTCTGAGAAGTCCCAGAAAAAATTTTAAGGGATTGACTTCTGTACGTGAGAGGGTAAAAACCATTTAAAGTTTTAATTTCTATAACTGATATGATGCCATTAGAAACTATAAGCTAGTGAGGACTGAAGAAATTCAGGTTACAAAAAAATACCAATGTGAATGTGAATAGATTTGAGGATATACGTGTATATAAGTGTATTTTAGACAAATATCAGGCCCTCTTGTATGTATTAATAAGCTATCCATTATATAACATTAACATATTATAAACATTTTTCATGTAATAAACATTTGTCAAAGTATCATCTGCCCCTTTTGTCAAACACACACTGACTCTCCATCCTTTCTGCACCAGTTTTAGAATTGCTTACTCTAGCCATCTTCAGATCTGCATTGACTTTCATAGTAAATGTTGATACTATTTGCCTTTTCGTTTATGGACTTAATTCCTCTACTTCAGTGTTTGATATCTAAAATCACTATAGAAATGCATGTTTGTGTATCCAACTTTAGTAAAAAGCATCAGAAATTAGGCATACTTACTTATCTATAAGAGAAATAATCACATAAAAGCAGCAAATAATGTGGCTCTGTTTAGAATAATGTTATAAAACTGGAAAAAGCACAAGGTTTCCAAAATAAGAAATCCTCAAATTATGGTTGATACTAGTATACCGGGTTTATTATTTACAAAGACATCATGACTCTTCTTCCTCACAAGACACTGACTCTTAGACTAACAGGACATGTTCTGAATGATTTGAAATAAACACTGAAATAATATGAGTGAGTGGCTTCATGACAATAATGATTTGAAACACATATATAACAAACTCTAGTAAATTAACAGGTTGCACTTTCATAACAAAACAAAAATTTGCATGCATGCAGAATGTGTTTTAAAAAACACATTACTGAGCTTTGACAAATGGATTAACCCAAGCATTATGAAACTGAAAAAGCTTTTGCCTAACCTTTATAGAACTTACTCTGATAGGAAGTACGGATCCGTTTCGTTAAATCAGGATAAAAGTTAGATAGGCCACGCATGCAAAAGTTGTCTTTGGAACATGCCAGAACATCAGCATCAGCAGCAGGCAGAGAAAAGAGAGAAAAATAGTCTAAAGTGAAAGGAAGTGATATCATACCATAATCTAGAACAGCCAAGATGAAGAAATTGCAGCAAGATTAAGTAGTTGAATTAGAAAGGAGATATTAAAAATAAATCAATTAGAAATTAAGAGATGACAGATGAGAGATGAGAATGCTTTAGCAATTTTATTTGATGAAATATCTTATAAAAAGAGATGGCATACTTTTCTACATGTTTTTATACAGTATACTTATTTGGCTTATAAATAATATACATGCATTACCTCAATGTCAAAATGGTCATCTTTAATTATTCAGAAATTAGAAAGCAAGCTTAGGGATTTTAGTCTTTAATATGTTATGTATATAATATAAAATGAGCACTAATTGCAGTCATGGACACTAAATACAAACCAAGTTTATGACATCATCACAGTTCTTCCTGATTTTTTAAAATATTTTTGAGATAACATATTTTTAATTTACATTATAGTTAAAGGCTTAGTGCTCCACTAAATTAAGAGTTTTAAAGTAAGATGACCCTAAATTCAGCAGGAATATAGGCAAGGACTATAAACAATAATCAAAAGAAAAGATGTTCATTTCACTCATATATCGTAAATTTTATAATAATCATTAAATTCTAAGCTCTGATTATAAATGTTGAGGCACAAGTTTAAATAAAATTGAATAACATTACTTTTATCAAAATACATATTTTTCACTTCACTTTGTAGATACAGAAAGAAACTTAGACACTTTCATAGGACCCAGAGCTTGTCTTACTGAATTGGTGCTTTTAGCATTACCCACTATCCCCAAACATTTCCCTGTCCTGTAGTATGTGAACTTTCAAAAATCAGCTTTTCATTTCTCAATTTTGAGGGAATCTTCTGATACGTTTATGTCTCTCTTAAGAAAACCATTAGTAGCTAAGCAGAGCATGTAGAATTTGAATTTTCCAGCACTTCTAAAGTATTGCTAAAAATCAGTATCTCTAACAACAACAAAAAACCCCTCTCATTTCCTGAAGGACTAAGTGTGTGTCCTTGAAAGGGTCTAAATCAGCAACTGGAAAAGGGCTCAGACTTACAAAAGACGTTATCAAAGGAGCAGAATTTCAGTATATTAAATTTTATTAGTCCAAAAGGGAAATTCATTTATTATCAGTCAGATTTTAAATTTGACACATTTGTCATTTGGTAACACCTATCATCATCTTTTAATCGTTATTACAAAATATTCTTCTCATGGGCATACTTAGTAGAGTCTTCAATATTCAGTTAATTATTTTAAGTAAAACAAAGCAGAAAATTAAAAAGACTTGCTTAAAATAACATACAATGTGCTATTGGAAAATTCTATTTGTAGACATTTGGCTCAATATTTTTATCAACTAGATTAGATCAGTGGGCAGGAGACACAAAGTTTTGCTACTGTTTACAACACCAACTCTGGTTATAGACTGGAATTTCAGTAAAACTTTGGATAATTTGTCATGTTAACATTAAACCTTATTTCCCAATTGACCTTATTTATTTTATAGCTAATTCAATAATTTATTGGTCCCACCAAAAATGCCATATTTCATTGTGTATGAATGTTTACTATAGCTATGAAAATGCTTCCAATAAAGTCATTATTCATCAAATAAGGGAGTTAACTGAAGACTTAAAAGTAGTCAGTGATCTAAGATGATCTTTTTAACATGGTCAGACATATTGGAAGAAAGTTAACCTGGTTAACACAACCATTGCAAGGGCTTTTTACTTCCAGATGTTTGATTTTCATAGTATTCTTATAATAGCTTCTTATTTTCTATTATTTCTTAGCAATTCAACCTAACAAACTTGAGATGCTCCCTATCTTCAACAGCAAATAGTTTAAACATCCCCCTGTCCTTTCAGAGTCTCATTATATTTCTTCCCAATTCACTTTACTTGTATTGTTAATTATAGCAGCATACATTTGAATAACATCACAGATGAAAGGAAATTTAAAAGTAAGAAAACAGATACACAAATCAAGTTTATAACCCATCATGTTTTATTTCCTACCTGCGATGAACTGCTTGTTCTTACGAGGGGACCGTGGTTGTCGCTGGTATAAGTCACTTGACCTATACAGATCAAAGGTTCCCATGCTTAGCAGTACTGTCTTCTGTATAAAATCCACCACAGCCAATCCATTGCAGTTCCCAAATGCAACTCTGAGAGAGAAAAAATGTGTAGCTAGAATGTATCATAACAAACACAATTTTTTTTATCTTTAAGTTTAAAATAAGATTATTGGAAAGTAATGGCCAGAGTTGGGGAGGTTGGGTAGTGATTAGTGTAAAGTCAAGATGACTTGCCTTTACATGGTATATACTGACTAACAGCCATGACCATGTACTAAAGCAACAGGATGACCTGCAATTACATTTTATCAATTTTATCATGTAAGTAGTGATTAGTCAATCTGCTAGTTAACTCAATATTATATTTTTGTCAAAGAATAGCACAATTTTTCTCTATGTAAGGAGCAGATAGGCCAAGAAATATTATACTTTAATAGCTACAAATTCTTAGGAAAAATTAGCATAATTATATTTTCTAAATATTATCATAATTATTAGACTCCAAGTTCTTTTTTATTTTTAATTTTTTTATTTGACAGAGTTAGACAGTGAGAGAGAGAGAGACAGAGAGAAAGGTCTTCCTTCAATGGTTCACTCCCCAAAATGGCCACTGTGCCGATCCGAAGCCAGGACCCAGGTGCTTCCTCCTGGTCTCCCATGTGAGTGCAGGGGACCAAGCACTTGGGCCATCCTCCACTGCCCTCCTGGGCCCCAGCAGAGAGTTGGACTGGAAGAGGAGCAACCAGGACTAGAACCTGGCACCCACATGGGATGCCGGCGCCACAGGCAGAGGATTAGCCAAATGAGCCATGGCGCCGGCCCCCAAGTTCTCTTCTTAAAAAAAGAAAAATAAAAATTAACCCCATATAAGATTTTCACATTACAGTAAATATCAGGAGATATAGCTTTTATTCACAAAAACTTTAACAAATTCAGATCTTTTTGCTGTTTACTTTGTACCACTTATTGAAAGCCAAAAACATTTGCTTATTTCTTTTCTAAGTCTCTGGAGAAATTAAAACAGAGACCATTCTTAAGCAAGCATTTTGGTCAACTTAATCAGCAGGCATAAATTAACTCTTTTTCCTCCATTTACAATATGTTCTCTAGCTGATCATCTCTGAACTTTTTTGCTCCCTAAACTGTTTTAAACACAGGCTAGTTGTATGAATGTTTTTCACTTGCTTCATGTATATCCGTGTTGTTTCATTTCTTAAATTGAATCTTGTTTACAAACCATCTGCATAGTCAAATATAGTTTTTTTTAACTTTTATTTAATGAATATAAATTTCCAAAGTACAGCTTATGGATTACAATGCCCCCCCCATAACTTCCTCCACCTGCAACCTCCC